GCCCTGGCCATGGTGTGAGGGGGCTTGTAGGGCAAAGCTGTGTCCCTGGAAATACACCCAGTGGCAGCCCTAGGAGAAACTTCCAGGGAGCTGGTTCCGGGGAACCAGGACCCCCTTTCCTTCTCCCCCTTCTCCCAAACACCAATCACCAGGTAGGTCTTTCCTCCCCCAAACCCCAAACTGCCCTCAGGAGGCTACTCGCCCAGGCCGATCAGAGGCTGATGGGGCTGAAGCTGTCTGGGGAGAAGGAATCTGCATTTCCCCAGGTATAAGGTCAGAAACCAACGGAGTGAATTTTTAAAGGTGGATTTCCAGTATCTGCCAGCCCACAGGGTGCCCTCTACAGGGCCAGGCTGGGCTGCCCATGGTACATCCCGGGGGGCCAGGGCCTCGGCCACTTCCTGTGTCCAGAGAGAAGCAGAGGGGGTTGGGACAGAGTGATCAGAGCCTCAGAGCGAGGCTGGTGAGCCTCAGCCCCTTCCAGGCACCGGCCTGCGGCTGACAGGTCCCCTTGATTCAGCAGCAGCCCCACCCACAGAGGTGAGGGCTCCCCTACACTGTGGGGTCCACCTGTCCTTGGTGGGCAGTGCTGAGAGATGCTGTGCAGAGTAAGGAACATGCACTCTTCCTTCACATCCAGGGGGTCTGAGGGCCTGTTCTCTCGGGGGTGGGTGGGTGGGAGTGGACACAGGCTAGGAGAACGGTATTCCCCATTCCCTGATATTGACCCTAATGCCCAGGCCTGAAGTGCTGACGAACTAGGCCTCTGAGAGTGGCTTCCATGGTCATGGAAACTCATCGGATCAAATGGGATGATGAGTGCGGCCTGCAGTTACAGCGTGGAGAAGGCCACTGACTTCCGTCTTGGGATGCCGATGAGGGTGGGACTTGCCCCTCAAGCTTACAGCCCCTGGCAAAGCCAACCATTCCACCAATGGCAAGTCACAGAGAAGGAGGAAGATGGAGGGTCCCGCTGTCTATCAGGGAGGCTCTGTTTGCAATGCGCTCACCGCCTACACGGAGACGCCCAGACGCCCTCTCATCACACCCTGCCTGCACCAGCGACCCGGGCACACAAGTCCTATTAAGAAGCCTCTACCTGCTCTCACTCCAGACCACAGTCCTCCAACCACACACTCAGCTAAAGGGGGAGGCAAGTGGACCAGAGACATGGGACTCACAGTGGTTGCTTAGAAACCAGCCCCAGTCACAGCCAACCCAGGGTCCTTGGCTTGGGATACACATTTCTCCCAAGAAAGCTGTCTCCACTCCCCAGCACCGAGTGACCCACTGGGCTCGCAGTTCAAACCAAGGGGACGAGGAAATCATCGCTTGTGGTGTGTTCTCAACTACGTAGACAAATGGCCATAAATATTTATGATGGGAAATTTCATTATTTAACAATTCTGGTCTAAATTTCCAGCTCACACCACGAAGAGTGCCTGCTGAACAGGTTGCAAATTAAGAACAATTATTTTTCTCTTCTGAATTTGAATAGAACTTACAGCAAAAGTCATTTAAAGGGGTTAACATCAACCTTAATTAAATATTAAAGTGTGCCTGTACCTGCTGCTATTGTTGCCCCTTCGAATAAGATATAACCTATTTTTGACAAGTTTTCATCTTTCTCTGTGGAAGACGCTACATGAAACCAAATCAGTGGCAAAGAGGAGAGTAATGAATAATCTATTTCATATTCCAACAGTACCCAGAGCTCGGAGTGGAAAAATATTCAGTCAGATGATGGCAAGAGGCTGCTGGGGTACCACATGACACAGCTAATGTTTAAATAATAATAATAAAAAAGCGATAAACAAATCATTAGCCCTTAACAGTTGTTTAATGCTATTTGTTAATGAACGCAATGGTGGGGACTAATAATGAAAGAAAATAAAAACGTCTAAACAGGCGCCAAGTTGCTGGCGATGCGCAATTATTTCCTTGTCAAGTTTTTATGATTTAATGAGCCCCTCTGGGACTGATGGCTGTCAGTCAGTCGTGACTTTTTGACACCATTACAACTTCAAATACAGCAGCAGGCAGGCTGTTTTCCTCGGATTTGAAATACTGAAATGATCTGACAGTTTTAAAGAAAAGATGTGCCAGAGAGAGAGAGAGAGAGAGAGAGAGAGAGAGAGAGAGAGAGAGAGTTGCTTTCCTTTCTTTCTTTTTCTCTCCTGCTCCCTTCTTTTCTGGAGTAGATAATCTCTGGATGCTGGTTTGGTAATGAAACCCAATCACGTAGGTCATTATCTGATGAGGTTTTTGGAACAGGCAGGCTTTTTCCCTCTTTATTTCTTTACTTAATGATAACCCTCAATGGGCTTGCCCCGCATGGGACGGCCAGCGCCGCACAATTTTGTTCACCATTAATTTCAGCCTTTGAAGCTCGGGGCTCAGAAGCAGTAGCAAAGCAAACCCCCCACCACGCTGGTTCCAAAATAAGACAATCCAGCCTGCCTGAAACAGAATCGCAAATGGCCTCCCGGCCCAGGCTGGCGGCTGGCGGCTGGCGGCTGACGTCAAGCCCACCGCATTCGCAGGCACTCGCCTTCAACGTGGAACATTTAAAACTCTTTACAACTTAAGAGACATTAATTAAATTGCTTTGGATTCTGGAGCAGGGTAGCGTCTACTTTATTTATTCTGTCAGGAAAACTGTGCAGTCTGCAGTGAATTTTATGTGGCAGGGGCTTCCTCCTCTTCTTCCTCCTCTGCGTCTTCATCACTCCCTCCCCCCCCGCCCCTCCCACATCGCAAGGCATCTTAAACAATATAACAATATTCCCAACTTTAATTCCATTGATCAGTTGAGGTCTACGTATTAAGTTCCTGGAACCTTTCGATTGTGTGTGGGCTTTCTTCCTTCCCCGGTGGAGTGTGGAAGGAAGAGGACAATCTGTCTGTCTTTGGGCTCGTTTGAGTCTCTCCCACAGCGTCCAGGAGGGCCCAGCACGGAATTCAAGGGACCTTCAGACCACCTTCCTACTAGGTGCTCACGACTCCAGGCGGGGGGGTGGTGGTGGCTCTCAAGGGCGTTTGATGGGGCTGTTTGGCCAAGGGTTATCTGTCCACATCTTTTCTGCTCTCAAGGTTGAATTGGGGCAAAATCTCAGGCAAGAGCTGATCAAGAGAGCCCCAAAGAAAAGGCCATTGAGAGGTGAACAACGCACTCCCTCCTTCTCCTACTTCAGCATGAGCACAGGTCTTAGTGAAACACGTAGGAGCTGACAAGTTCGGGTGATCAGATCAACCCGGCTCGCTGCGTGGCCTGGGGAGGGTCTGGAACTGAGATGCAGCTGGAGACCTGGTTACTCACTTGAGAGAAGGAAGACCAACAGCTTCGACGGAAGGAGGACAGGTAGAGGCTTCCTCCCCCCATTAGTGTTTCAGGGCGAGAAGGAAGTGGGCTGTTTGTTTCTTTGCTTTTTCATGGTTTCTTGATGTGTTTAGCACATACAGCATTCCGTTATCAGAATAAAAGATCCTTGCTGAGATGGATCCTTTATGCCGACGGGAAAATCAGCAGAGCCTTCCCACCCCTTCACCGTCCTACTTCGCCCTGCCCAAATCTCACCCATCCCCGTACAGTAAAGGCTGCAGCTCTATTTACAGGATCCTAAATGATTTATCGGAACACGAGTTCTCCGGCAATTTTGCCATTCTGCATTTCCTCCCTACCCCATAAGGGTTCTCTTCTGAGTTGGGCGGGGGGCAATATATTACGTGCTGCACCTAGGCGATCTCCATCCATGGGCACAGGTGGTTAGCATTTTTTATGAAGAGAACAGGCTTGCTTTTCAAGGACTCAAAGCTCCCAATTATATTCAAAAGATAGTGTGGACCCTGTAAGTGCCTATGAAGTCTTAAAGAAAAACACATTTTGCTTCATGACTAGGGGGAAAATGACCTCAGCTTGGGCAACTCGAAGCTCATCACAAATGAACTCATTCTGAACGCAATTCCCCGTTCCCTCGGACAGAAAGAAACCAAAGAAGATCACAAAGCCTGTTAGGGGTTTGAACACATCGTGAATTCAGGAAGGCGATGCTGACATTTGTTAGGGAAAAACCCAAGCTGTCTTTTTGCAACACGCGCGATACCTTTCTTTCAAAGGAGGCCATCGCCCATTTTCCGTGAAGTTTATTCCTAGTGGATCCCCCCTATAGGACTCTGCCTTATTTATAATCACATTTGAAATTTCACTCTGACGGAGTCATGTTCTTGCTCTTCCTGAAATATTCATGTTCTCTTTACATACTGGAATGGATGTGGGGAGAACCTTGTCAGACCTTTCGCATGTCTGAGGGCTGCTTTTGGCAGAGCAAATATTAAAACCGAAAGGATACAGGAGTGCTTACACAGGTCAGGGGAGAGGGGGTCACCATTAAATACGGTGCCAGGGCTCACGCTGCCGGCAAATTCTGGGGAGTCTGGGATTTGGGGAGGGTATGGAAAGATTTCTTGTAGCCAGTAATCAAAGTTGTGAAAAGTGGATATTGGGCAGGCTCAGCAAAAATATTTCTGGGTGTAAAAAAAAAAAAGAAAAAAAAAAGAAAAGAAAATTATGCGTAGAAAAACAGAGAAAGTGCTAAGTCAATTTCCTGCACAGCTGACGTTGAAACCCACCTTTACAATGAAAGCACTCAGGCGGGCTGACTATGTTCATTGTGCTGGGGTGGGAACCGGGCTGGTGTGCTGAAGATCCCTGGCTCTGATCCCTGCTTTTCTCTGCATTTGGATCCTCGGACATCACACAAGGGCAATTCGGTGACAAGAGATGTGTGACAAACAGCGCAGCCCATCAGAAGCCCCGTGACAGACTCATTATGCCCTCTCCCAAACCGTGACCCCTGACATGTCCACGGGGCAAGGAAGAAGGTCACTAGAGGCTATTTTGGTCAGTAGGTGAGAGGACCAGAAGGCAAATAAGCCCTCACCTTGCCCTACACAAACACAAATCTGGGCGAAGAAAACCTAGAAAAGGAAACCAACCCACATGCAAACAAGAATAAAAATATTTTTACACTCTTTGCACTCCGGCTGAACAGTGGTGAGAGGGAGGGAGGGTCATTCGGGGCCTGTCAGCGCAAAAGAATGATTCATGTGACCATTTTGTCTTAATTACTCAGCACGAGCCGCTGTTGCTGTTTATCAAGGACCCGCCGATACATCAGTGTCTTCTGAAGGAGAAAGTGATCGCCATCAGGATGGTGATGACCAGGATGACGGCCAGCACGACGACCAGGACGCGGTTCTGGATGATCCTAGGAGACAGCAAAGGAGAGAGAAACTCAGACGATCGGAGCACATTCCGACAAAGCTCATGCGAGATCAAGTTGGCTAATCAAACGATGGCTTCACAGGCTGGGGGCGGGGAGCCTGGAGTGAGAGTGTGTGTGTGTGTGTGTCCACACAGCTTTTTGGTTCTATAAAGGACCCACAAGGAAACGAACGACTCCACAGTGATTGTCACGCTGCACCTGGAGACATGCTTTCTGCAAAGCTACTGCGAACCAAATGGCTTCCGAGGTGCGGAGTGCCATGCGGCATCTGTAAGTGATCAAGGGCCCGTGAGAGCGTCACTTTTTAATTGAAAATGTGAGACAAGCCTCATTTTTTTTTTGGCAGTGTTTCCGGTGAAGGTAATAGACTCCCAGGAAACATATGTCAGTGAGGTACTTACCTGTACAAAAACACCTGGGGAAAAGTAAAAGCGAGACATAGGAAGAAAAGGACAGGATTAAGAAGCAAGTGTCAAGCTTGCAGCTCAGGCTGTGAAACCGTCACCTGTCACGGGGGCTCACGCTCTGTGACGCCAAGAGGAAACATTCCATTTGCTCCACAGCAAAAGGGGGTGAACATGAGAAAGAGCACCAAGTACCTCGGGGGTTTTGGTTGGTGGGCCCTCATCTCTGGGGACTCCAACCCTCTCTGCTCTGGCTTTGCCAAATGCTGATGGGGAACAGGGAACGGAGGGGAATCGGAGCGGAGGCACCGGCTCCAAGATGCCTGCAGAGAGCTTCCGATGAAGCTGTTTCATAATTTGCTACCTCATTCTGAGAAAAGAGGTCGAACATCAGAATGCTTTGTGGAGACTTTCAAAGGGAACTGAGGTCAAAGAGCCTCGCCCACGCTCACTCCCACAGAACCAGCCACACAAAAATAGAGACGGAGTGCTTGGCAGTCTAGCTGGCTGTCCGCACAGCAAAGGCACTATAGCAAACCCCATCTGTCCATCCTCCAAATAGGAAGCACAAAAAGGTCTGCTGTCTTCGTGTAGACACAGATCACTGGACTGGGCGTCCATCGGTGGGACTGGCCAGGCGCCCAGTTTAACAGAGACCCCCACCCTCCTCCTTCCCATCTTCCAGAAGAAATCTCTGAGGGAGGCCGCAGCCTTTTCTAGCTCTAGCTGGGTTTCTTTCTTGGAAGGATGACGACACCCCCGTGGTTTCAGTCGGATTCCTCCTTGCCCACCCCCTTCTTGCCCAAACCTAAATGGATGGATAGAGACCGTCACACCAGACAGGCCCACTCCCTTTTGCCCCCTGGAAGGACTAGCTCCCTCTCCTCCTGACAGGTTACAAAATGATCACATTTGCTGACACGTCTTCCGCAAAACTGCTTTAGTGCCTGTGTCCACTTTCCTGGAAGGAGATGAATGATCCGCTCGGTCCTCATTCATCACGTACGGCTCGGCTAAGATCTGTCTCGTTTATTTCTTCCCTTCCCCACTAGAAAGGCTGCGCCCCGACATTAATTCTTCTGCGATGACAGCTAATTCAGACTTCACAGGCCATGTTTACTCAGGAGGCAGGAAGATTCTCCACCCCCAAAATAAATAAGGACAGGACTTCACGGCTTGTTACAGTGGGGCTAATTGTGAACACTGATCGGTGCTAGTTGGTAGCTTGATTTAAGACCCAAATTGATCCCCCCCTTTTCTCTGGAAGGGGCAAGAGCCTTCGGAACAGTCCCTACACATCCTGTTTGCCCAAGTCACTGTCACAATCTCTCTTTACCATGGCCACCCGCACCAGACTTGCAAGGAAATCAGCAAAACTGAAACTCAGCAGTGAAACAGATTAAAAGCATGAAAACTCTTTAACATTCTACTGTAAGTACTATTCGGTAGCATGTCTCTTGGTTGACAACCATTTTATTTGTGGGTTGAGGGCCCCAAGGCATCCATGATGCTCATTTGTAAGGGATGAACTGTGGATGTTACTTGTTGAATCTGAGGCACGGTTAAGGAAACAAATGCACAGGAACCCTAAATTCTCAGCTCTTCTCCGGCCTTCCCTCATCTCAGGGCAAAGAGGAGTGCACTTCACCCTGTGACCTTCCCTAACAGCTTCTCTCAACAGACACCCCATCCCAAGACGGGTGACCTGGGTCACGGACCATCAGAAAGATCGAATTGCCCACTCCCTCCCCGGTGGGTCCACACTCACCTCTCCAGCCCCAGCGCATGGCACAGATACTGACACTGAACTGTCCAAAGGATGATAATGAATGGGCGCAGCCCTACAACTGCCATCCTTCCATTCAAGGGAGAATGAAGATCCGTGCAAATTTAATTTGCAGGAAAACCGCAGGGAGTCTCCGTAGAGAAGGCTGAAGTTAAAGTTGAAGTCCCCCAAAGATGGAATTTCATACCATCATGCATTCTCAGAGCACTGCTGGGTCTCCCCTGCGAAGCTAGGAGAAGGGTGGGCCATGGAAGTGAGGCGTGTGTGGGCGGTGGGAGAGGTCGGCAGGAGAGAGCATTTGCTTTCAAACCAAAGGCTGGCCAGGCCATCAACCCAGCTTTGGATCTCTAAAGTGTTGGGCAGACACAGCGCCTCTCAGGACCAGAAAAATGAGCGGCTGGGCCCTTAAGTAAACAGGACTGAGCCCATCTGGGGGTAGGGAGGACAAAGGCTGCCACTGCTGGGCCCCTTCTGGGAGGAAGCCTGACAAGCCAGGGGCTGCTGGCAGGTATTGCTGTGGGCAGAGAGGGAGGCAGAGTTTGGAGAGCATCTGAAAAACAGCCAGGAAGAGGGGTTCCCAGCGAGTGAGCCAGGGAAGAAACTTTGGGGAAGGCCAGGGTATCTTCCTTCTTAACTTTGGGGGCAGGGGCGGTGGGTGGGATTTCTGTTCTAGTAGGTATGCGGCAAGCAGCCTTAATCTCCCTTTTGAAAATGCAAAGTGTGTTTACCCAGTAAATAATTTAAGAAAGAATATACACTTGAAAGAAGACATCCATTGAACCAGCCAGGCTAAATTGCCTCCAGGCAAAAACTTGTGCATTTGCATGCTGCATTCTATTAAGTGAGCACACTGTGGCTTTAAAAGAATGCAGGGCCAAATTAAAAGGAATGTGGGCGCAAAAACATCAAGGATCCTCCAAGTTTACATTATGAATCACAGTGCTGTTGATACAAGATGAATTAACCATTTACTTTGAGGCTGAACTCACAAAGTACCATTGAAACTACGGATCCTGTGCAGGAACCCAGGGAGGGGCCCATCTTTCCATTGCCAGTCTCCTCCTCCTCTGGCAACGAGCAGCTGCGTGTGGCAGCCCCGTCACAGAAGACTGGTTAACGTGCAGTAGGCCAGCGAGGCACCTGGCACCGCGCTCTGCTCTTGCTCCAGGAGCCCTGGAATCCCACTGTAGCAGGCGTGACCAGCATTCACCAATATCCCCTTCTCTACTTCTAGGCACAGACTCCCTTACCCATCCCTTGATGTTCAGTGTGGCCATGTGACTTGTTTTAGTCAATGAAATGTGACCAAAGTGCTGGGTGTCAGCTCCAGTGTTTGGTCCCTTGCTGTTCTGACTTAGGAGGCTGTAGGCCACTACCCTTACCATAGAGATTTAGGATTTTCTGTTTCTCTGCAGGGTTCTCCAATAACAAGTGGACCTTCCAGGGTCTGAATCTCCTTTGTCTTTTACATTCCCAATGCCTAACACAGAACTTGGCATAGGTATTCTTAAACTTGCTGAATGCGTGAGTGGGAGTCTCCACCTCCGTGTGTTCCCTGAAGGTCCATGTGGTACTCTTCCTACTTTCCAAGTGTTGCTTGTAGACAAGCACAGCTTTGGGAGTGAGCTATGAGCCACCCTCCTATTCGGGATGCCAGCAGAGTCCAAACCCTTCACAAGCCTGCATTCATCAGTGGAGAGTGTGTGACACTCCACAGGTTCAGTGCCCGCCCTGGACATGCTTCTCCTGCCTGGCTGCCCAGGCCTGAATGATGATGCCCACCTCTGGGTTCTGACAGAACAGCAACAATGGGCAGGGCAATTAGCTGCCATAAGAGCAAAGGAACCTATACCCGAGTCTCTCAGGAAACTCCCCCAAAACAAGTGCCCTGGGAAAGGCTCTCCAAGGTCTAGATCCAATTCAATGTTAGTCAAAAGAAATAAAAACAGGAGTGAGAGAAAATGGTGCTTTGTTATCAGCCTCTAACACTGACTTTAATTTCAAAGCCGGGCACGTGGCGACCTCTGAGCTAGAGTTGTGTGGTTATTGTGCCACCTGATGATGCCCATCCAGGTTCTTATAGGGCCTGCATCTTTGGGAGGAATCCCCAGCCTCAGCCCAGAAACTCAAGGGGGCTTACCCCAGTCTATGATGCCACAGGTGGACATAGGACCCAGGCAGATCCAGCTACTTACAGCTCTCTATTCCTGCACAATCCTTTGTTTAGGAATTGGCATGCCCCAACCGTGCCAGATAGAGTCCTTTGAGGATTTTTTTTTCTAGAAAGTCAAGAAAAAGGTATTCTCTCTACTGGGATTGGCTGTGGAGAAAATGGACACTTAGAACTCAGGGCCATTCTTATCACTACGCAGGAGAGGAACCTGCTTGAAAGGATGCCAACACAGCAACACAGGACCCAGAGATGGAGAGAAAGAAACAGGTTCCTGAAGGCATCATTTGAGCCCTAGATCCTGCTGTGTGCCTGATACCAGAGGAGTCACTTTTAAACTTCCCAGCTGCAGGAGCCAGACGACCCAGCATTCCAAGCAAACCTGCTAAGCTTCACTCTATTAGACTGCCTTAAGTCACATGCTTGCTCCTGGTCCAAGAATTCGGTTGGGACTTCTTTCACTTTCAACCATACACATTGTCCTGAGTTGAATAGTGTCTCCCTCTAAATTCATGTCCACCTGGAACCTCAGAACGTGACCTTATTTGAAAATAGGGTCTTTGAAGATGTAGTTTATTAAAGACCTTGAGATAAAATCACCCTGCATGTAGGGTAGGCCCTA